TTTAATGCCTTAAATCTCGAGTGTGGCACAGAATATCGGACATATTTTTCAAAGTTTATGTCAGTACCATTAATACTTGAGAGACAACAGTTTAATTATTTAGGTATCAACGCATGTAATAACTTCCGCAATATCACATAATTTGAAACGTTACTGAGAAGATATACCGCCGAGAGCAAATGTCGACGGGAAACTTCCCAGTTGACGACCGACTTAACTATATTTCGAGAATCTCGACCTTTTAATTTTCATTCAATACATTCAGATTTACCATTAAATCTAATCACGACAAGAGACACAACAGCGGAGCATTTGATTTTGGCAGTCTTACATGTCTTACATGACCATATACACGTACAGCAAAGGTCTCTTACACTGTGTTGATTTTGCTTATAGCAATTGGGTAACCTTTTATTTTTGTTATCAAGAAAAGTCGTAAATGATGATTTATAGGAAGGAAAGATTGGATTTGGTGCCGTAATCTTTTTGTATCAAACAATATTATTGTCTCTGTTGAAAACAACAACCCCGCGAATACTACCATTGCGTAAAGACATTTACTATTTACTGTAATATAAATGTCCGTAATTTATGCGTTTAATATCATATCTAAGAGATCTATATTATCAAATGTAAACACGAATTGTTTGTTTTATAACATGTAAAAAGGACGAGCCAAATAAGTTAATCTGGAAAGGTAAATACTATCAGCTGTTTAATATTGATTAAGATTTGTTTGTTAATATGTATGTCATCATGTATGCCATAGTGAGCCATGGTGGCCCCACGTGTACGGTGCTGGCTCACTAACCTGGTTGTTCCGGGTGCGATTCCGGTGTTGGCCGAGACTTTTCATCGTGGTTTTCTGGTGCAGGGCGATAAAACCGAGGTCCCTTCGCAAAATTTTCCCCATAGCATAGTGTGACTTTAAACCTCATTTCATGTCAATGTGTCATTGTCACCACATTGCGCTCGAAATAGAATCCCAACCACCACATAGCCGCGTTCATAGCACATACTTGGGCTATTTAGAATATCTTAGTTTTAAAGGGGTAATTGCACTTTGACGATAGTCGTCGATCAGCAAATTAGCCTACTTGACTGTCCGTTTCCACATTGTACATGTATATTATTAGTATAGACCTTTAATTTGGAATTTTATCTTTTTAACTTATCAATATTAGGCCTACCTAGGTTTACTGTATGCCATATACTATGCTACAAGTCTTTCGTTATTTTTCAAAAATGGCACCAAGAAAATAAGGAACAGAGCTAAACCGCGACACGGTAGTGAATCTAAAACCCCATACTGAGTTAAAGAACCCACTTATCTTTATCGAATTTCCGCGTGGTAGAAGTAAATTTGTCTGTCGATAAGATTTGGTTTTTGTTACCTGGTTTGATATTATAGTGACGATATCAGTTTTCTTGTTTATTGTGTAAATAAAACACAGATAAACAATCTAATACATAACACTGATAATCCCAGACTTCAGTAGACTGATGTCCCTTTACATGCGTGGATATATATAATGCCTTTATATGAATTGGAGCTGTTTTCTGAGATTGTATAGAACTAATGAGAATAAAATATGTAACATAATGGGATTGTTATATGACAATATTAGCGTTTTACCGTTATTTCGGGGACAATATTACACGTCTTACAAGGTAGGTTAAGTGTATTATGAATAAATAAGATTTTATAGTGGTTAAGATCAAATAGTTTGGCCGGCTGATGTTTCGATGAATGTCTCGATCATTGCTTTGTCGACAGTATTTACCTTTATTACTAACCGAAGAATACCGGCAAATTACAATGTAAAATCAAAAAAAAAAAAAAAAAAAAAAAAAGAAGAAAAGAAAAAAAAGCTATATACATGACTACAAGTTATTGATGGCAGGGGTATTATTTATCTCTGATATTTTAATTCGCGATTCGAAATATCATTAGGTTCCTAATTCCACTTGGAGGTGAGCATGTAAACCCAATGCAGATATAAGGCCTAATGGTATATCTGCTATACGGGGTGATGACGTGATGTGCTGATCGGTACATGGTTAATTTCCAAGCCGCCTAAGATTTCAGTTTGAGATAAAGACCCCACCCCCCTGCCACACACACACACACACACCCACTCACACACACTAGTTTGATATTATAAATACAAGATGAAAACTTTTCAATGTCTTGGCAAACTTAATAGTGTCTCTTTAAGGATTTAATAATATGAATTAAAGATTTTATACATACAGTAATTATATACTGTTGTGAAAAAAGATGTTGCCTTGTAATTGTTCGAAACCCGACTGTTTTATTATACAGTTCCGGTATATTGTACAATGGAACAAACTATTATGAGGTAAGATTTCGCCATTTTTATCGCTCTGATAACTTTGAATGGATAATGTTTTAAACCAGAAGGGTAGGTCAGTCAATATTTTAAAACGCGCGGTGTCATGGTGTGTATGTGAGATGTTATGCTATTAAATTTTATGATTTACGATCTAAAAGACTCCCATAAGGGATGGTTACGTACGATAATGATCGAGCAATGTACTTTCTGTGTGAAATCCAGTCACTGACGAGTGTTTGTTCTGGTGCATAAAACAGTACAATATTTTGTGTATAAAAGTAAGTGAACATTTTTCTAATAAAAGGGAATATGTTATTTTAAAGTGCCTGGTCATCATTTGGGGGATTTCTACAATATTAAAGGTGAAGAGTGATTCAATTCCGTAAAGAAAAAAGTTGTGATGAATTGAAAATTCGACATATTCTGCAGACGATATAAACTTGATATGGTTAAAACAATCACCTTTTAAATATTTCCCTGACCAACCACAGTACATGGTAATGTTATCATTAGAAACTGAACTAGCCAGTTAAACGGGTGATCTCGAATTACAAAACTTGTATATTAAGGGTAAATATATTGGTAACTAAAGTATGTAGCCTGTATCTAGCTTACTACTAAAAAATATCCATAATCTTTAAAGAAGCATTACCACTTTTACCAAGAAAATAAATGCAATATTGAACACCATCAAATTTAAAATAATCTTAGACCATAAGGGTACGGGCGATCATCAAATTTTTCAGGCAGTGGCCAAATGATGAAAAAAATAAAGTTTTAGTGGATATAATTAATAGGATAAATATGAAAATTATTCCTTCCCGCAAAATAAAGAGTCCGAAATCTGGACTCTTACTGAACATTGAGTGGTGTTATGCAATCCCCAATCTGGGTTCACAGTTGCAGAAGATCACACAATTCTAATTTTGATTCAGGGTGTCTAGTTCTCAAACTCGAACTGCAGTTCCAGAAAATTCACTCAGCTAGGCGCTACTTATCGTTATTTTGCGAGATTTTACTGCGGTTATTTTGAGTATTTGTAGGTATTTTTGAGCAAAAATGATACATGAGCCTACTAAGGAAACCGTACGCCTCAACTCACCACGAAAGTATAGGCAGTGACCTACGTATTGTTAGTATTTTATTCAAGAGTTCGTTAACTTCATTAAAAATAACCAACACGACTCGAACACTGACAATTAGAATGTATTTTATAATTTTACATACATCTGATTTGAAAATCCCCGGTGTGGATGTATGTACGTCACATGCCAAATTGAAAATAAAATGTTTACGAACCACCGAAGTTCCACATGTTCAATGAAACATCTTTAAAATTAAATATCTATTATTATTCTTTCAAGGGAATGTTGTAAATCTTGTCGGTGATTAGTGTGACCGGTTTTTACCAGGTGCTAATTTTACCATGCATTACTGCTGATACGTACTCATATAATATGGCCGATTTCAAGAGAGAAGAGAACCTTTTTATACTTTAGAATATTTAGTTGTACAATCGATTTCATTTTACCAGATTTGGTTTCCGGTATATTGGTAATAACCATGGCATAAGTAAGTAGTTCTTTCATGTGGAACGAAAACACTGTAGTTCTACAATTACTGAGACAGTAGTAGTATTACAGTTATCTAGCGCAATCGATATTTCTGTCACTATAGTTCATCAGTAGCGGATTATCAGTGAGGCTGATGAGGCTGCAGCCTCAGGCCCAAAGATTTTGTAAAAAAAATTTTTTTAGACTTGTCTGATACGATTAAAAACGCATAGACAATGAATGTTAGGGGTGGGTTTAGGCCCAACGGGAATCAACATAGGCAATGACCCGAAATTAATTAGGCCCACGCCATTTTAAATAGGCCCTATTGTTTGGAGATATAAAGTTACATTACGTTTTTAATGTTAGCAACTACCTTGGCTCTAACTTTAAAAACTAAATAGGCCCTCCAGCAACTGCCGCCTCAGGCCTTGGTGGAGCTTAATCCGCCACTGTAGTTCATATAATATTAACAGAAATCTCATTGCAACAGTTTTTATGGAAACTTTTCTGCGAATTAACAGAATTATACAAATTAAGTCGTTGATCCTCTTTTGCATTTCTACTCTGTGGTGCTAATCAACTTTAAAATGTACTCGAATTCCTTATTTACCATTTAACAAATCAAAACCAAAAAATATAAACGGGAGATAATGCCTCGGCTTGGATTCTAATGGAAAAAAGATGCTCATCAAAAGATTTCAGCAATAACCATCATTGGATGACTAAATATTGACACATTTTCATTGCATGATATCTTTGTAAAAAGTAAACAATTTTTGGACTGCTATTACTTTTAGTGAGTCAGTATTTACAATATTGTAGTTGACAAGGATTAAATATCTCTCAAATGAGGACCAGAGAGTTTTGTAACATAATTTATCCGTACAAATTGGTTTATCTCATAATAAGGGATGTTACTTTTTTTACAAAGAATACTCCGATTCTTAAAACTGTCAATGATTAGACATTTGTTTTGGGGTTTTTTTTGCTGTTTTTTTGTGTTATTTATTTATTTATTTTTTTTTTGGTTAACAAATTTAAAATCTACTTGTATCACTCTCAGTAATTGTCTGCACCAACCGGGTTGATGAAGAAGAATACAGCTCAAGCAGTGATGAAAGAAATTTTGTGCTGACAGCGGTGTTTTCGCATATTTTCCATCGAAGTCCAAAGGTCAAGGGGTCTTTTACGTGCACATGGATTTCTTATCGAAGACGGACATTTTAAATAACCGGTCATCTGTGCAAATGCAAGTTTTATCAATCAGTTGTTGTGGGCGGGTTGGTTAAGCGTGCACGGTTATTCATTCAGCGATGATTCCCGTTCAGTGGAAATTTATATCCGCCTTCTTTTACCTGTTTTGACAATATCCATTGTGTCTAATTTTGACTATAGCCAGGTCTTGATGACACGAGAAATGTTTTTGTTGGTATACAATGATGTCTTGTTACCGATAATAAGAAATACATTTTTGTTATGTTTAGTATATAAGATAGTTTATTATCGGTTTATGGCCTACCAGGAGCAAAGAGTATTGTATAAGTCTTGTCATCAAAAGTCCCTAACGTAACAAAATATATTGATACTAAGAAAAGTCTTATTAATTTCTGAAAACAGTAAGTACAAATTATTCTGAAATATTATGTCTTAACTGAATAAACACAATAAAGCTACTTTCTTTAAACATTGTAAGATATTAATGACTTTAATAGAGGGTGTATAGGAACTGCAGCTCACCCAAGCAGAATGTTAATACAAAGTGTTTATACAAAAGCCCCAAGGGGCGTTGCATTGTCTTTCCAAACACATATAAACGAGGGCTGGCTGAAAAGTTCTAAGCCTATCTGTGAAAGACCTGTACAAAGTCAATGGTTTCCATTTATTTGTCTACATAGCCCCCTTCGAGGTGTCGACCAGGAAGAGATTTTCTTCAGCCACCCTAAAAGAAAGTCGTTCATTACTAGGAAAATGACCACCGGCTAGTTCCTTTTTCATTTTTGGAAACAGGTCTGACAGGGTCAAATCTGGCCAAAATGATAGTACCTGCTTCAAAACGGCGCTGATTGTCACGGGACGTCAGGAATCTTGACACGTTTCTGATCCACATTTAAGAGCTTTGGCACCAATCTTGCAGAAACTCATTAGCGATAATGTGCTCAACCCTCTCATGAGAGATGCCCACAACACTGGTAATATGTCGAGTGGTCAGTCGTTGATATCAGCCATCACCATGCCATGTACGCGGATAATGTTTTCTTGAATGGTTGTTGTTGATGGCCTTCCAGGGGGCAGGCCACCGTGAAGGCTCTCTCTGCCACACGTAAATCCCACAGCCCACTTCTTTACTGTGGAAAAGGAAGGACCATGTCGGTTAGGCCTTTCAGATGCAGCTACTTGATGACGGCCCTATAGCCAGTTTTATCCGGTTCTGATAATTTCAATGGGTAGGGTCACAAGATGGTCTGCTACGAAGACAATAACACTACAGCTGTAGTTCTTATGTCCGTGATTCATTCGATGATTGTAATTGTTGGTGGCAAAAGTCTGTTTCAACATTTAACCCAATTGATCTATCCTTTTCAGGCTTAGAACTTTTCAGCCAACCCTCGTAGATTTTTATGAACAACCCAGACGACTCGGTTGCCCTTTTTTTTACTTCCTCAGGTTCACGTCGTGGTGTAGATAAAATACAATACTAACGCTATACAGCATTTGTGTTACAAATGTAATTTCATATTTTTATCATATATATATTTTTTAGAGGGGCATGAAAAAGAAATGGAATTTAATGGAACGGTTTTGAATGGTAGAAAGTTATTGTCGGAAAGCACGAATGTAAATTGTGCAGCGAGTGAAACGATGAACAATAGCGATTTTAGTCACTGGCATGGCGTCACACTAGTGATAAATCTGTACATACCACCGATTTTAATAACTGTTGGTGTTTTATTTAATGTGTGTATTATATTCGTTATGAATAGTCCAACATTTAAAACAATATCAACTTCATATTTTATGATCACATTAGCTGTTAATGATGCCATGAGTCTGTGCATTTCTTTGACAGCTCATTGGTTACATGTGAATTTTCCCGAAACAATTGTACGTACACAATACTCCCACATTATGTGTCGTTTTTTCGATTCTTACGGCTGGGGAAATTGTGATTTTGCTATAATACTTGTAGCGGCAATGACTGCAGATAGAAGTTATGCCATCCTCTATCCTCTGAAATGTCACACCAAACGAACACCAAGACGACTCAAGATAGAAATTGCTTTACTGGTTTTGGTTGTAGTTGCTAAAGATGTTCACTTCTGGTTCGTGTCGGATATTGTACCATTAGGGAGAGATGAACGATTGTGCGAAGTGCCAGTTCTGAAACTAACTAGCAGCTATCGCTATTTCTATGAAGATATCTGGCCCTGGATTCATATTACGTTTATTGGTTGTTGTTTTGTGGTGATTTTCGTGAGTAATATTGTTATTATATTTAGTGTAAAGAAATCATCAAGGAATAAATCAATAGTGAATGGTCGAAATTCAACGATAAAAGAATATCCAACAGGAAGTAAAAAATACCGAAAAGGAAGTAAAAACATACGAATATCTCCCCGAAGTGCTCAATTACGTCAAATAGCTGTGATGCTCCTTTGCAGTTCGTGTGTGCAACTTTTGCTTACTTTTCCATTCTCTGTGCATATTGCCATAGCTGATAAAATGGTGGAGTTAACTTGTAATCCTAATCAACAATCGATCAATGGCTTTGTGTTCTCGGCAACATTTTATATGCTCTATTCAAATAAGTGTGTTAATTTCATCATATTCACGTGCAGTGGAACGCGTTTTCGAAGAACGTGGCAGAATAAACTAAACCAATTCATCTGTAGAAGGAAATTTAAATCACTCCAAATAAATCATTCGACTAAGAACCCTATTTCCGCACTATCATATCCTACAGTGTCATCAGAAATTTTAGAATCTACGAGATTATGATTGTCAATCATCTGGAATTTAGATAACCTTAGTAAGGATGGAAATAGTTTTAATGAGACAGTGACATATTTGACCTAAAAATGAATGTACAATCGGGGAGGGGTCCTTACCAAGGATAGCTGACCGAGTAGAAACCCTTGGTGATACTATATTTTAAGAGGATCTCTAACGCAGCAATTTCCAGTTTTAATATTTATTTCAATTTTTTGTTTTGTTGAATATTTCGTTTGTTATTTGCTGTTTTTATTATCATATTTATCATAACCGCTTTTCCCATCATTATCATCAACCAAACCAACCATTAATATTGTGATATTCAATACCTGTCTTTAAAGCCCCCATCACACCAAATAAGTTTTTAAAAACGCCCTACCCCGTCCTAGAAAATCGTAAAACGGGTTGTGGTCAGGGAGAAATTTGAAAATAATGTCTAAACTACGATCCTAGGTGGTCCATAAACAATCTTCGATATCTCGTCTGCACCCCCTCCACAGTCAGTTCATATCAAGTTCAGATCGAGTAAATTTGCCATTTCCAAGCAGTCCAAGCCCGTCCATAGTAAGTTTAAACCAGTTCGTAACTAGTTATACCATGTTCCCAATAAGTCCGTAATTGGTTTTATCTAGGTCTAACTAGTTTGGTGGGGTTGGATGGCCGAATGGTTAGCACGTGCGCGCTGTATCATAAGGTCTGTCATTGAGTCAGCTAGCGTGGTTTCGATTCCCCGGTTGTACGTGACAAGGAGTAGGGTCGCCTGTCCGACTCGTGGGTTTTCTCCGGGTCCGCCGGTTTCTTCCCACTTCTAAAGACCCCTACATACAAGCGAATTGTTGAAATAAAATTGAACCATATGTTAGTCCCGAAATGATCTAGTTAGTTTCGATTGGACGTTAAACCCCATTTCTCTCTATCCCTCTAACTAGTTTGTAACCCAATCACCCAGTTCAGAGACAGTTCAACTGGTCTCTGTCTCGTTCTTAGTGCGTTCGAATGCATTCCTATTGTGTGTGCAATCCTCTCCTGGCTTGAGGGCTGTACAAATCCATCGCGTTCTTCCCGTTCATCGCGTTCTTCCCCGTTCATCGCGTTCTTCCCGTTCAACGCTCCCATGACACCAAACTAGTTCTGACTACGTTCTGGAAAATGTTACCAAACAGACGCAAGATGTGCATGAACGGAATGAACGTGGTAGCAATTGTTTACGGTCTGTTTACGAACTTTGTGGACGGGCTCGGATGCCCCAGAAATTTGAGTCTGATGTTGAAAATGTTCCCCGTCCTGCAATTAGACGGAGGGGCAACGTACTTAAAACGAGTGAACGCACTTAAACCTGAATTGACGTACTAGTTTTTCTTATTGTGTATCATATATTTTTACTAGTATTAAATTTGTAGGGTCGTGTTACTTATTCATTTGTTGGAAATTGAAACCATGGTTATTTAGCCGTTTTTGCTTAATTTAAAAACGCATAATTTATACTTAATTACCTTTTAGTGTATCTGCATGCAATTATAAAACCTCTCATATTTGAATATATTATTGGTGTGTTTATTTATTTCTATAATTTAATCTGGAAGGGCTTCAATGGAGTCATCTTCTAAGCAAATCTTTAATTCTGATTTGTAGATATGGGCATCAGAATGGCTTCCACAACCAACGACACTTATCTACATGAGTTTGTGAGGCCATTAACACTACTGAGCATAAGCCGACGTAGCTGTGGTGCATGGTTCCAGTTTTGGGATGCTTTCTGATGGCTATATGTTTCCCATTAGAGGCACCACAGGCACGTGGGACATTCCAGCGCATCATAAACTCCCTAACAGCTTCAATCCAAGTGTCTCTGTCAACGGGGCAGATGGTGACTTTATTCTTGAGTTCTATTACCAAGGCACCACAGACTTCGTTCACCAACAAGCACATTGTGTTTGTTGTTACCAGGAATTCACATTGCATGGCGACAAAGGAATCGACTGTTGCCAGATGACATAGTGTGATGGCAAGCTCCATTCCTGGTTCCAGGAAGGTGATGCGGTCAAGAAGTTCGTCGAACATGGGTGAGATGATTCTCAAGACGTTGCAGAAGGACTCTTCATCAGCTGATGATAACGTCCCAGGGCTATTCTCCTCTCACATTTTAATCATTTCATTGTACACTTGCCCTGCTTCCAACAGAAGTTGCATGGAACCAATATTCAAGATATTAAAGGCTCTATGATAATGTTAAAAAATGTTGAAAATCTTGGGGAGATGTGCACTCAATTTAGGAAACAGCCCATATTTTATACCCTACCTTGTCCGAACGTAATGTTATTTGATGCTCGAGCTACAACTGGACCGGAGGGTTAGCGCGTGTGCGTTGTATCGTAAGGTCTGTCATTGAGTCAACTGGCGTGGTTTTTATTCCCCGGTTGTACGTGACAAGGGACAAGGAGTAGGGTCGCCTATCCAACCTCGTGGGTTTTCTCCGGGTCCTCCGGTTTCCTCTCACTGCTAAAGACCCCGACGCGCAAGCGAATTATTGAAATAAAAATTGAATCACATGGTAGTTCCGAAATGACCTAGTTTATGTCGAGTGGACGTTCACATTATAATTATAATGTTTGTGAACTGAAAAAACATATTATTATTATTGCACAATTATAAAACCCATAATTTTTGGATCATTCAAAGAAGCATTCCAGTTCTTCCCGTGATAATTCTACAAACAAAACCCGTAACAGAAAGAAGGGGACACTATTCCCTTAGAACAAATAGAGAAAGAAATACTCAAAGACACTTGAAGGGATTAAAATAAAATTTCTTACTACTGCTTGACTATATATTATAGTATACTCACAATACTCACTAGTTCTAACACTTCCCGTCGTTTTTATTGCCAACGAGACCTTATTTGATCATTATTCAGCTTCCGAAGCAATTAAATTGGTCATTTCACAGCGTTATTAATTACAAATCAAACTTGAAGCGCTATCACTTACCGAAAACCATCTTGAACAGAATGGAAAAGTATAACACAATAAGCAGATTTGGTTGTATATTCCAAAACAACCGCACAGAAGGCCTCTATTCCTAAAATATTGCTTCTACTGAATAGTATGGAATGAAATGGTGTTTATTGTCCTACTTTTAAGCGTTTGGACTAATGAAGACGTTGAATAATATAATTTTGAATGGATCCGATATGGCAGCACACAATGAACATATTATATGTTCACAGATGGTAGTAAATGAATGCGTCCATTTTTATCTGCACCAACCGGGTTAATGAAGAAGGCAGATGGTATTCAGCACATTTAAGTGTCGATGGGTTTTTGATAGTAAGGTGAACATTTTATTCGATAGTTGTATATGCGCGAAAGATCTATTGTAGCAATATCGGACTTCCTTGTTGTGTTTCCTTTGTGATCGTAAATAAAACCACAGGTTAGCTCATTTCTACAACTTTACTATTAAACTACTTCCAAGGCTTCTATGTTCCTCGTTCTCAATAAAGTATAGATGATAGCTGCTCGGAATATTTGGGTCAGCTCTGATGAATTTTGCTCAACACCCTCTTTTATAACCCGCTAATTTCTGTAAGACTGACCTTGGCGTTAATTTCCTTCCCAAATATGGAATAACCATACCCATTCTCAAAAGACCGGGGGGTGGGGGTGGGGGAGAACATTACCTTATTTGGTCTATCAAACACATGTCATAAACAATGGATTTTGCCAAAATATCACTGTTTTTATATATAAATATATCATTCACTTTGACTCTATAGAAAGTGTGAACAATAATTAGTTAAAGATACATTTATGGTCGCAAGGACCATTATATTTAACATAAAAAGCAGCACTGCTAGGCTTTAAAAAGTGTTTAGGTAATTTTTCCTACAGATTTATGCTAAAATTTCTAAAGGAAAAAATAAAGTATTCTATGGTGTTTTCTGTAGTAAATTCTAGTTATCTTTTTGTCTTTAATCAAGTTTTGTGAACAGACTGCACAGTTAGTTGTCTCGCTGTCTTCAGTTTCTTGTTAATACTAACTTCTATGAAGTTGTTATACATGTACATTGAATTCAAAAATTTAAAATTCAGCCAATGAACAAACAGTATTCCCTTGGATTAACTTTAATGAATCCGTTAGCTAACGGATAATGAAATTGACTTTCCAGCAACAGAAATTTAACGGACCTTAACAAACGACAAGTTACCAAGATAACGATCCGTTAGAGTTTAACGGATCGTTAAAATAACTTAGTTTTGAGCAACCGGCCCCCGAACAACATAAAATGATCTGCCCTAGAACAAAATTACAAAGCTACACGTTGTCAAGTAGTAGGACTTGGATCAAACATTTGTGTCGCTTAAGAATCTGATAGGAATACAACATTATTTCTTGAATAAAAACAATCACAAAAAGAGTCAAATTCCACCAAGGGGCTGTGCGCATAATACAACCAGAATATGATTTACTCTTCTAAATTGTATGAAAAGCGTGATACATTTTAAAAATGAACGAAAATATTTGTCTATCTTAATTCTAGCCTCAAAGTGATAGTTGTAAATAATCAGTCATGTTATATTCAATCAGAATAACTATTTTAAAGCACTATTGCAGAATTGCCTTCTCTATGGATTCTGGTCTGACAATGAATAAATATTTTATGAATAAATCCATTGAAGATGAACATTTGTATCGAACCACGCATGATTACAAATCAGACACGAAGATCTGTTTATGAATATATATTATATATATAGTTTGTCTGCTTACGTTGTACAGACTGATCAGAGGACTACATTCAGTCCTTGATAGGTTTCAATATCAACGGTCAATTAACATATGTCTAAGTCTAGCAGTTTAGAAGGAGTGTTTCGGTGTATATTTGCGATGATTTTGCAACCTTTTACTGTAAATTTGAAGGGTGCTAGCTATTCAAATGCATGTAATAAGAAGAATGAAAGTTTAAAAAATTCCCCTCATTGAGTTACAATTTTTATTTGATTTTAGAAACCGTTCAAATATATCTTTGCTACACCATAATCACGGTGGCAAAGCATATAAAACATTGACCTCCTGGAGGACATATTTCTTTGTCCGATTTCGATGAAACTTAAAACATGTGTTATGAATCAAAGAGAGAGAGAGAGAGAGAGAGATATGGGGTTTAACGTCCACTCGACACAAACTAGGTCATTTCGGGACTAACATATGGTTTTAATTTTATTTCAATAATTCGCTTGCGCGTAGGGGTCTTTAGCAGTGGGAGGAAACCGGAGAATACCCACGAGGTTGGACAGGTGACCTTACTCCTGGTCGTATACAAGCGGGGACTCGAAATTACGCTACTTGACTCAATGGCAGACCCTACGATGCAACCCACACGCGTTAACCATGTTCATTTCTGTTGGCTATGTGACCTATAATCAAAAGGGTGAGTTGAACGGACATTTTCTGTTAAGTTTTGGTGAATATTAATGCTTTAGATTTAGAAGGATAGCAGAGCTAAGAGGTTGGGTACGGTGGTGGTAAAATGTTTTCTTTGTACATTCAATTTCCAAAACAATGCCAGATCATGTTCCCTCTGTAGAGAGGAGTTTTTAGTGAAACAAAAACTTTTCGGGAAAAGTTGGAGCTGGTGCAAGAAAAAAGAATATGGGCGAATATTAGGTAGTCTGTCAGCGTAAAGTGGTTCCAGAGTTATTTCCCCTCAATAGGGTACTCTATTGACATTGTAGTGTATCACAACCTAAATATCCGTGAAAATATACATGGGGCAAAGTTGAAAGGGGCATGGGGAAAGGGGTCCGTGAAAAAAATGGACCGACAAGTAGGATTTTGTTTCAAACGAAACGCCACATTTGATGTAACATACAAAAAAATAAATAAAAGACATTACATACATGGACATAAGATGTAACAGGATTGTAATTTGGGACTTTGTCAATTAAAGTTGGTTATGCATGTCCTGATTAGTGTCTTTATTGTTTGAAGCTTTGAATTAGTAAGGTATTTTCGGTTTGAGCTAATATAAATTAGTTTAATTGTTTTGGGTGGTGGATTTTCTATTGTATTGGTCTGGAAATTGTCCGGATTATGGTGTTTTGAAATGTTTTAGTTTTTTTTTTATATGGGTTTAGTTTTTAATATTTCTGGTATAGTTGAAAGGTGGTCTCTTTCTGAAAGGTTTTTTTTATCAGGTGATCTGTGATCTTTTGTCCTGGTTGGTTATATGTAAGTATTGTTGGGATAAAACTAAATTACATGCACACATGTTACAGATTGTCAGCAAAGGTCACAAATCGGCTCTTTTCCACAAATGGGTAAGCTAATTATTTTCTACATCATTTAATAGGTGACTTTGAGAATATTTTACATGTGTTTGAAATATGATTATATATTATGTAATACTGGAATGTAAAATTGTAAGATATCCAATAGAATTATTGGTTATGAACACATAAAGAATGACAACTATTGTATTTTCAGGGCCAAGCATAAAATATGTTTTATGTTTAAAGTGTAATGCCAACATAAATGTTGTTTAAAGCAGTTA